AGGCTCACACAAGCTATCGACGACACTGGTTTCCATTTGCGACTTTAAGAGAAAATTCAAGATAAATGTATATTATTATTATTTTATGAGAATACACAAATTATAATTTTTTAATGTAATATTTTTAAAACAAAATATCGATTACATGTTCTAATTTTGCAGCATTATAATTTATCTCCAAGAAAAACATCTAAATTAATTGGGATATTGTCTTCTTTGAGATGATGGATTGATTTGAAAATTAGGTTATACAACCAATATTTTGCACTAAAGATAATTTTTCTATAGTGTTTAGTGGCAATTTTAGACATAAGCAACCAATGCTTTAGCTTACATACATGGTCTGTCCCAAAAGTGAACTGAGTTTTTTTAATTTAATGACTATGCAGCGTAATACATCATTACAGTAGAACCCCTCTAATCCGTCACCTTTGGGACTGGGGATATGGTTGGAACACAAAAAAGGTCGGATTATCAGAAAAAAATAAAATAAACAATCTTTGACATTGAACAGAAACGTACTTGGAAAAATAATTATTCAAGTAACAAACACCTTATTTTTTGCCAAGGGAGTTTTATTAAAAAACTAACGTTTTCGATCTACTCCATAGATCATCCTCAGGTTTAAACAATCTTCCCCTTTGTCCAGTCTTTGTAGCACTGCTAATTTTTCATTTAATGAAAGAGTAACATGTTTCACTCCTGACATGTTGAAAACACACACAAAACTGTACATGTACACACAATGCAAAACATATACTGTAACAAACACAGAAAAACGCCACAGACGGTGAGTCACTGACGAGTCGGGACAAGTTTCTCGACTCCGACCACGGTTGGATTAACCGGAGTGACAGACTAGCCGAGGGCGGACTAGAGGAGTTCTACTGTAATTGGTATTTTCGCGTTGCTAGATATCTCAACAGCATATCTGAACCTGTTTCAAGTTGATTGGTTAAGACAAATGTGCACAATCTCGGTTTGTGTAAGATAATGTATTAACACATTGTTACATTTGAAATGGAAAAAATCTCAAACGTAACATTACACTAAGTTTTCTGTGAAACTCAAGAAATCTGCAACCAAGACATTTGACGGTTTTACCAAAGCCTATGGAGATGCCACCTTATTGAGAAACATGGTGTTTAGATGATACAAAGATCCAAGGAAAAGATGATGCGTATCATTTTTTTTTTTGATAGTCGTGAAATTGTGCAATAAGAATTTTTACCTTCAGGACAGACAGTTAATCAAGCCTTCAACAAAGATGTCTTAGAATGACTTCAAAAACGGGTCAAGCAAGTCCACAAGGACATTGCAGAAGATTGGGTACTGCACCACAATAATAAGCCTGCTCACCCAGCACTATCAATTCAAGAGTTTTTGGCCAAGAAAAATCCCCACACCCACAACCTCTCTTCAGTCCAGACCTTGTTCTGTGCAACTTCACCTATTCCCTAAGATAAAATGTTGAAAAGTCATCATTTTGAAATAGTGGAAAACATCAAAAAAGTTGAATGGATGAACTAAACACCCTTACGGAAAACAACTTCAAGTACTGCTAGGACCAGTGGAAAAAACTTTGGAACCACTGTGAGACCTCACAAGGGTTGTACTTTGAAGGAGATCATTTGTAATTTGATGTCTTCTATATTTTGAAATAAAAAATCAGTACACTTACTTTTGAGACAGACCTTGCACTTTTAGAAAATTCCATTCGTGCAAATATATTCTTATCACTCTTCAATTTTGTATAGTACAGTATTCAACATTCAATATTAGCTGAAGCCCTAAATCTCTTATATTTCATATTTATGAAATTTATGGCCTTAACTAGTGGGATATGGAATTTACATTATATAAAACTTATAAGGAGAGTATAATTCAATGCTTGCCTAGCATCTTGCACAACCTAAAACCATTACTACAAGACAACAGCAGTATAGCTATATCATTCTTTTTAAAACAAGGAAATAAATTTAACCCAGCAAATTACAGACCAATTGCCTTATTATCCAGTTTTAGAAAAGTATTTACAGCAATTTTGGCAGAGAAATTTAAACAATGGATAGAGGTAAATAATTACAAAAATCCAACACAATATGCATATATAGAAAATGGTGGTACTCAAAAATTCTTATTTGTTTTACTAACAATTCAAATACAATTATTAAAGAAGAGACAGAAGGTTTTGCAATATTCTTGGACTTATCAAAAGCTTATGATTCTGTTAGTATAAAGTTGCTACAAAATAAATTAAACAAACATAATGCAAGCTATTACTTAATTAACATAATTGATCGATTATATGGAAACTACAATGTGATTATTAAACAAAACAACATATGTTGGAATTTGATTACAACTAGTAGAGGACTATTACAAGGTGATCCCTTATCTCCAATTCTATTTAATTTCTATTTATTTGACTTAAATCAATGTTTTTTAAGGGAAGATGATGGAATATATATAGATAATTTATGTATCCACTCAATTTCATATGCAGACAACATAATAATACTAGCTCCTACTGCCTTTAAAAAAGAAAATCATACAGATAACTGAATATCTAGATAATTTAAAAGTAAAAATAAATCCTGTCAAATCAGGAATTACGATTTTCAGAAATGGAAATAAATCTCTCAAAAAAAGTTAAATCCTTTTACATTAAGAATGAAAAAATTAAAATAGTCAATGAAAAAAATTCTTGGGAATAATTTTTACGTTTAACTTATCCTTCTGCAAACAATATAAATATACTATAACTAAATCCAGAAACCTAATAAACAATTTGATTATGATATGAAGGCAAAAATTAGAAACATTAAAACTCATTTTCAGCTTTTCAATACAATAATAAATGCATTATGTTATGCTCCTTCTATAATGGAGCTTAAATAATTTTTACGACTTTTTTAAGTCGTAAAAATTATTATAATATAATAATTANCGAACGTTGTCTGTATGGAAGGGTGTGGTGTCTTCCGTGTCTTCTTGCCGATGTCCTCTTTCTGTAGCTGGATAAAGTTTGCTGTATGGAGGTTCGGGAGTCGAGGTGGACACTATCACAAAGTATAACTTCCTATGACGAATCGCCCTGAGCTTCTGAAGATTCCAGCTCTTATATCATTAGCGTGGGAAAACTGTCACGTGATTGACTTTTGTTGACGATGACAGTGCATTCTTCACACCTAACTGTAAACTTCCCCAGCTAGTCGTTATACAATCGGTGAAATCTGATCTAGTTCAAATTCTTCGGATTTTTTCCAAAGATAATTAACAGAAAATTTAGAATTTTAAAACGCCCGAAAAAATCCGCGAGCCCACAGACAGGAGATAGGTTTAACAAATAACAAAATAAAGGTTTATTCTATAATTAAAGTTAATTTACAGGAGTATACATAAGGAAGCTACTGATTTAATGCTTAAATGTGGATAACACCAATTTATCTATAATGGTGATCTAACTAGTCACTATGCCTCAGGAGAGAGTTTACAAAGGCTCTAGAATGAGAGAGTTATATTGGAGGTCAGGTATACCTTATGTTGGATGACGGTATGCGACGATCATTCTGGACTATGGAAGCTGGCTGGCTGTCACAGGCTTATGTCTTCTACCGGCTTCTCCTCGGATAGGACCGGGACGGGAGACACTGTACTCAGACCTTCCAGATGATCGCGCGGAGGGACGATCGCCATGAACTACCCGTGACGATCGTTTTTATATGATCGTCATTGGCACTGAGCAAACAGGTCGTTCACTCGTTATGACGACTAATTAGCACATGCACGTTGACTAATTAACAAACCGACGATGACTTGTCTTTCTTCCTTCCTACCTTGTGGATGTGTAAAATTTGACATCCTCTCTATTTCCGTTATAACTTGCGATAAATTATTTTTTTCATCCTCTAACGTAAAAATGTGTTAAACTCAAAAATTTACGCCCTGTAAACCCTCGGGCTCACACAATATAAATATATTATAAGTAAATCCAGAAACTTAATAAACAATTTGATTATGATATGCTGTAAGGCAAAAATTAGAAACATTAAAACTCATTTTTAGCTTTTCAATACAATAATAATAAATGCATTATGTTATGCTGCTCCTATATGGAGCTTAAATAATTTTTAAGACAGAAAAAAATTCAGAATATATTTATTCGCAAAATCTTCCAGTTAGAGTATGACACTCCAGGAAGTGCTCTGCGGCTAGAATTTAATAGATTTAAATTGAATACTATTTTGATCACAAGATATGTCAATTGGCTGAAAAAATAATTAATGCAGAAGACTTATCAACAAAACTAATGTATTTATTGTACAACAAATCTAAAAATACCAACATAAAACGAAATTGGATTACACAATTATCAGGTATATTCAATGTATATGGCTTTTCCATAGAAATGGTGTTTGACTACCTTATTAATAATGACCAACGAATTAATCAACTGTTATATAAAGATGCGGAATACTCAATAATCCAGGATAATGAAGATATACAAAAAAGAAATAAGTTACAGTGTGATGTTATTTTTAATTATCCATACTCGTATTAATAATTACATGTTTCTAAATCTCCTATTTAACGTTAAAAAGTTCTTCATTTAATTACGACCTAATCAAAAAGATCTAAATATTGAAAATAAATATATAGATTATGATTAATCTGGATGCTCTAAATGTGGTAAAAAGTTGTCAAAATTTCATTTAATTTATGGATGTAACGAGAAAAACAAACAAAATGAAACACTAGTGAGAATTACAAATATAATCAAGAGATGGAAATAATTATGTATAGTAAATTGGACAAAATGAATATCAATGACATTTACAATTTATATAATATGTTAAAAACAACATTTTTGAGTGACAAGTATTTCGTTAATTAGCCTTATTCAATCATTAAATTAAATAGACATTTAATGATAAATTTTATCGAAAAGTTTATGTAAAACTAAGAAATTGTTAAAATACCCCCTTGTAACAGGTTACTGCCTTTTTATGTTAAGATTTTGATTGATTGATTATATCATTCTTTTTTTATAATAACCTATTGTAACAAAACAATATGTAAAGACAAAAATATGACAAATTCAGAAAATAAATGCAGTCATAAAAAATTATGTTAACAACAAACATTAACAGGATTTTAATGACAGTAAAAATTTCCCATTCTGTAATAAGATACAAATTGTCATTAACAAAAATCATATAAAATCATAATACAATTATATCAATATATTCAAATAGTAGAACATGAAAACTGTACCATAATTATTGTACAATTAAGATTTTAGCAGAGTATCATTTCACAAAACTTGTACATTAAATTTTCATTCGATTTCAATGCATTTTACATTAAATCCTTAATATATTAATGATTTTCAAATAGGCTAACTTTCTGAATGTTTCTATCTAGATATCTTTGGATAGATGCAAATATATTCTGTTTATATCCAGAATCATGTCCAGAAACTAAAGCTTTTATAAACAGAATCTTTAACACAAAGTGCCTGCCAACATATTTTTTCTTCCATTATTGGGAATTATTTATAATGTTATTTACTGCAGTACAAAGAAAACATTTAACTGGAATTTAATATTATACCAATATTTTACTCCAACATTTCAGTATTTTTAATGTATTTGAATGAAGTAGGAACTTAATTTTATAATTATGTTCTTAATTATTTAATATTTGTGTTATTTAAGATACCGTTACTATCTATTACATCTCAAAAAGTAAGAGACAATACCAAATTTACTTTCTCAAAAATAAAATTTCATTAAATTATTATTACTAGAAAGAAACAGTTCCCAGTCTGTTTGGGAAATTGACACTCTGCTCTTATTTATTTACTAACATAAAATACATATATTGAAACAGCTGAACATAAAGAAAATTTATTCTTTTTTACACGACTGTGTTCAAGGCACTTTCTTGTATTATTGAATTTTAAAATATTATTTTATTTCAATTGGAGAATGAGAAAATGTTTCATAAATATTAGCAGAAAAATTTGTCAATTCTTCAAAATATAAAAGTGATGTCGTAAGAGAGTCCTGTTCATTAGGTTTGTGTTTCTGCATTACTTGACGAATTCCAGGTAGTACTTTAGCCAACGGAATAGCTATACTGTCTGGATTCTTAAACCCATCACAGTTTAAGTGAATATAACATTCAGTTAGACGATCCATTAATTTTGCAAATCCTTGTTCCAGACAATGTGACATTACTCGAGAAAAATCTGCACTTTCAAGTACATCCTTGGTTTCATTAGTCATCTGAGCAATAATCGAATCATTACTTGACAGCAACTCTAAATTAGGACTATTGTACACATCCATTGATAATACATAATAAATAGTAGCAGGAATGAATTCTTGTTCAGAACAAACACTATTTCTGATACTATCCAATATGATTTCAAAATCTTTTAACAACAAGGTATGCTTTAAGCTGATGTTCCCAATTGCAGATTCTACTATGTTTTTTATTGGAATGGTCAATTCTTTTATTCCAGCATTAAGAAAATAATTGACATGAGAAAGATACTTTTGTTGAATTTCTGGTGAGGCAATGATTTTATTAACTTTCAAAGAATTTTTCTCATTTTCTAAATCATTATACATATAACCTCCAATTACGCAAAGTTGAATTCTTAAAACTACAGTAAACAAACATTCACAATATAATTCAGCAATTATTTCTGAGAAAATCAAAATTTTCAAATTGTCCCATATTTCAACTTTATTTGGAGGTCCAGTTTTCAAATGCTCAATTAATGCTTCAGAATTAAATAAACTTAACACTCTTTCACGAACCTTGCATACCATGGACAAAATGGTTGAATCACAAGTTTGAATAGTACCTTTAAAATGGTGATCCCGTTTCATTTTATCAAAAAGTTGCCTAGTTTGCTTTGTTTCCCACTCATTTAATTTAAATCCTACATATCTCTGAATAAAAAATAAAGCTCCAATTACACCTCCAGTTACAAGGAATTTTCTTCTGTGACGCCTAAAAAAGCTGCATATATTCTTCCACATTTTTTGTCCTCTTAAGAACCTGTAAGAAAATAATTTTAATATAAGTTTTATTTAATTTCATTATATAAATAAAATTTTCATTGATAATTCAAAATGAAATATTGTAGAGTAATTAGAATTTCATAATGCTCTTGAAACTGATGAACTGAAAATATTTTTATTTAGGCTTAAGGTTAATAACTTGTACGAAATTTAGAACAAAATTTCTTCTCCAGTGCTATTCAGAAATGTTGTTAGTCACACTTGACTGATTTTAGAATGTTTTCGAGACTAATTAAATTTTTTTTACAACCTAACTTCTCTAAAGCTCATGCTTATGCATGATCTTGGAGAAGTTTTAATAAGAATAACAGTAAAATTTATATAAAATTCTACTTTTATTGAGTTACTTGATCTCTGAGCAGTGTCTCCAATTCAGATACTAACATATTACTGCACAATTTCAATAATAATAATAATAATAATAAAAACATTTAACATTATTAATGAAGATCATGTAACCTGTCAGGATAATCCAGCAACAAGTATTGAATAATAGTATTGATAATAGCACACATACAACAACTACAACTAATGATACTACAGGCACTTCCTCATCTATCACTGATAACATAGACATAGAATTAGTTAATATGCTCTCACTTATATTTCAGGAAACACTCACTAAATATACTGGTACAGATCCCACACAGAGACCACGAATACCAAAAATCAACACGACAAAGGAAGTATGAAAAACATTAAATTATGTAAACACTCACTTACTACCAAACTACATTCATTCAATTTCTACACTCTAGACCAGGGGTCGCCAAACTTTTTTAACCGTTGACCTCCAACCACTTTCCAAAACCTCACATTGACCCCCACTATAAAGTTTTATTACAAGTATAAGTGTATGCGGAAAAAGAAATGTTGTGATCTCTATATAAGTAAAAAAAAAAAAAAGTTGTGACCCTTAGCCGTGCATCGACCCCTGGGGAGGGTCGATATCGACCACTTTGGCGACCCCTGCTCTAGACATTCATACATTAGTTTATGCTGGGGCAGTCACAGTAGTAACACACCATGGTCTGAAAATACAATCACAGACAGACACACACAAAATGCAATTCTATCACAAGCCTGCCTGGCAGAGAAGAATAGAAACACAAATAAATGACATTAGACAGCAATTAGGTAGGCTGACACAATACACTAAAAACAACATAACGCCCAAATTAAAGAAACAACTCAAAAACATTTTCAAGAAAATCAAAATACACACAAAACATGAACATCACAACACACACATTACAGAATACATAGATATACTAAACTCGCAGCCAAAGCACGTAGACTCAAACGATACAAAACATGTATGCTACAAAAACACAAAATTAATTATTCACAAATGATGAAAAACTTTTCTACAGACAAATCAGTACCAAAACAAACACTGATACACAGCACAGTGGCACATCAACAGAAGAAGAACTCACAAATTATTGGTCTTCTCTTCAGTCCAATGCTGTTACACAATGCTGATGCAGGCTTGATCGAGAAGGAGAACAGAAACTTGCACAACATACCAACTATGCCCTGTGCTGAAATAAACATACACGACATCCGCTACACTGTTAACAGAACACACAACTGGAAGACACCTGGTGTAGACAACATTCACAATTTCTGGTACAAAAAGTTTACATCACTGCACCAGGAACTAGCTAAACATCTAACACACATCACCATCAAACCACAAGACATGCCAAAATTTCTTACTCAGGGCATCACCTACATGAAACCTAAAAACAACAAAACCACAGACCCCACACAATACAGACCAATTACATGTCTTCCAACACTCTACAAATTATTGACATCCTGTATTGCAAACAAAATATACAAACATGTTGAAGAACACGACATTCTTACAGAACAACAAAAAGGTTGCCATAGAAATCACAGGGGATGCAAAGAACAGTTACTCAGATTGTCATTCTACAGCAAGCACATAAACAACACAGAAACATACACATGGCATATATAGACTACAGAAAAGCATTTGACAGCATTCCACACAGTTGGCTGCTACATATCCTACACATGTACAAAATACATCCATCACTCATTGCATTCTTCCAAAACACTATGCAGCACTGGAGAACAACACTACATCTCAGGATTAGTAACACTTCCATACAAACAAACTAAATATTCGTTAGGCGAAGAATTTTTCAAGGAGATTCCTTGAGTCCTCTCTGATTCTGCTTAGCCCTGAATCCATTATCCAACATGTTAAACAACACGCAATATGGCTACAATATCAGACATGAAAAAACAACACAGTTTACGCTGTCACATCTCATATACATGGACGACATAAAACTATGCATCCACACAAAAACAACTTCATCAACTCCTACAAATCACACATTTATACACTACGGACATATAAATGGAGTTTGGCCTAGACAAATGCAAAACACTTCACATAGAAAAAGGAATCCTGAAGAAAGATTTTGCACTTGGAAATGGAGAAGTTATTGAATCCGTGGAAGAGGGTGAGTTCTACAAGTATTTAGGATTTCAACAAGCCAAACTAACAGAACATACACAAATAAAGCAAAGATTAATTAAAGAATACCAAAATAGGTTGAATGCTATCCTCAGAACACAGTTAAATGCAAAACACACAGTTAAAGCAATAAACACATATGTCATCCCAGTACTCACATACTCTTTTGGAGTTATACATTGGACTCACACAGATCTTGAGCAACTCCAAAGGGAAACAAGAACAACACTTACTAAGCATAAACAACATCATCCTAAATCTGCCATAGAAAGATTAACCCTTCCATGTAAAGATGGCGGACGTGGCCTGATTGACATTATAAACCTTCACTACAAACACAGTCACTGCGAGAGTTTTTCTGCAAGAAACAAGAATCATCACAGTTACATAAAGCAGTAACTCTAGCAGACTCAAATCACACACCATTAAACTTACACTCACATCATACAGACATGACACAACATATAAAAAGCATAGACACCATCAAGCAATCGTGGGCTCGAAAGGCACTCCATGGCAGGCATCCTTATGACCTGGCCCAGGATTTTGTTGACAAAACTGCGTCAAACAGCTGGTTAGATCGGGGATGCCTCTTTGGGGAGACGGAAGGATTCATGATTGCCATACAGGATCAGGTCATAAATACTAAAAACTACAGAAAACACATACTCAAAGATACAACACTCACAAATGACACATGCAGAAAATGTCACATCATGCCAGAAACTATACAACACATCACTTCTGGTTGCAAGCTCTTGGCACAGACAGATTATTTACATAGACACAATCAAGTAGCAAATATAATACACCAAGAGCTTGCAAAGAAACACAAATTGGTAGACATTCACGAACCATACAGTATATTCAAGTATATTCCACAGACAGTATTGGAAAACAACACGCACAAAATGTACTACGACAGAGCCATAATTACAGATAAAACAATTTACCACAACAGACCAGACATCACACTCATTGACACACACAATAAAATCACGTACATTGTAGACATAGCCATTCCAAACACTCACAATGTACAAAACACATGCACTTAAAAAATTAGCAAGTACACAGAACTTGCCCAGGAAATAAGGCATCTGTGGAGGATGGATAGGGTGCTTATTGTACCTGCCGTTCTCTCCTGTATAGGTGTGATACCACACACACTACACAAAAGCCTGGGAACATTACAATTGAATAGAAATACATACATCAAACTATAGAAGGCCACTATATTGAATACATGCCATATTGTTAGGAAATTCCTGAATACCGACACTGACACACATATTTAATTTTAGTTTTGTTTTGATTGCTATACCTTGACTCTGGTCTGGCATAGTACACAGCCACTGGTATCAACCGAGTATAAATCCCACTAAACCCAACATAATAATATGTTAGGGAATACTAAACTAAAGCAAGTGCCAATATTGCAAACTGTGTATGAACTGGCAACACCTGTGCAAAACCAAAGCGAAACAAGAAGAGACCTGTTGTTCAGTTGCCCAAGTTATGGATGAGTGAACAAGTTCATAGTGTTAGATTAGAATAAAGACTAATTCTGTTAAAGGATTGCTTCATCATTGTTCTAACAATAAATCTTCAGGCACTCTTTTTCATTTAATTCAAAATATAGAAAAGAACATTCTGTATCACTTGTTAAAAATGTAACTATTAGAGATGAAATAATTTCAGTAATTCTATACTGTTGTTGTTATCTGAAAATTTGTAAAATTACAATGAAATTATATACTGTTTTTTACAAATAAAAGAAAAACAAAAAACTAACTTATAAGATTTACCATATTTTGTTAAATACAGTATTTTCCTTCATATAAAACTTGATTATACAATGAAACACAAAGTTTTCATAAACTCAAGTAATAATCAAAACTGGATTTTTAAAAAATTATACTTTATGCAATTGAACAAATTAATAAATTTGACACCAGTGATAAGCAGAAATGCTATTATTATCCTACATAATACAGGTATACCTCGCCTTACGTCGGTAATTGGTTCCAGGAAAACGACTTAAGTCGAAAAACGACGTAAGTCGAGGTATACCTGTAATTTAATGATTATTTAATTAATTTAGAAATTAGCTAAAAAGATTCATTCAAACAAGTTTTTACAGGTCAGACAAACATTACAGTACACCAGCACAGCATTCTTCTTCATATATACTGTTTTTATTCAAACAAACAACAGTGTCTAAATTTTTCATCTTGCAGCTGCATTGTTTATTAGAAAGCACTTACTATTAGAGGATGACTATTATTTCTATTCTTTGCAAATTGGGTGAGATTATTATTTGAGGGCAACTACTAATGGAATAAATCTGCTAATATAGTAAAGGTTCTTTAGGGATATTATTAATACCAGTGATTAAGTTAGAAGATGTCTTTAAATCAGATAATACTTAACTTTATTATTACTCAAACAATAATGCAATATAACTAATTCAGATAACACAGGTATTATACCATTATATATAGAATATACATCAAAACTGTTTAGTTCAGAGAGCCAAACACTTAAATAGAAAAATTGTTTTTAAACTCTGTACAGATCACCTTCAATCCTATACATCTGCAACAACCATCCTTTGTTCAAACATAGTTATGTTAGCTGATGATGATCTCTAAACAGATCAAAAATATTTCTTTTATTAAAAATTATTTGGCTCCCTAAACTAAGCAGTTTTGACATATATTCTATACTCAATATACAAAGGCTGCGGAGTCGGTAAAAAAAAAAAAAACACTCATCTCCGGCAAAATTAAATACCAAGTCATTTTATGGGGGCAGAGGCATTCATAGGGGTACCCTACACTAAACTCTGAAAGGAGCCTGGGGCATTTACCCAAATACTTTTATAGTTAGTATTTTTAATATTTAACTTACATTAATATTTATTTGTGTAAAAAAAACTAATTTTTAACAAATATTTAATGAGAGGAGAAAGGAGGTGATAAAATTCTATATCTACATATATTTGACAGCATTTGCACTTCACACCCTTTCAAAAGAGTTGGTCCAACTAAAAATTGTGCAATCTTCTCAATACTTCAGCCCCTTGTTCAGAAAAGAAAAATATGTACTCTGATAAATTAGTTTGGCTCATTCAGAAAAATAGAGTACTTATTTAGAGCAGAGATGATAAAGGAATGATTCAAAAATATTAAAATTCAATTGAGTCAAAATAATTTAACTACTAAACACAAATACTACAAAAATCACTACATATTTTTTTAATAAATTAAATTGATGCATTTTGTATTTAAAATAAATGAATTATAACAAAATACAAAAGAATTTTAAAAAATTAATAAATATATAATAAATTTTCTCTTAAATAAAATAAAACCTAAAGTAAATTTAAAATGCAGGAGTCAGAGTCAACACATGTAGAAGAAAAGAAGAAAATTTAAAAACTTGAGACCCTATGATATAATTTTTCAACTTCTTCAAAGTTTAAAATCATCATAAAAATTGAATATTGTGTTATTTTACGAAGAATTCAAACAGAGCAAGCATTAACCTGTAATTCAAGAATTCACTTGTCGACAGAAGCAGGTAAAATCATTACTCAGATTTAAGAGTTAAATCTAGATTTAATGTGTGGTGAATTTTAAATTGTATGTTTAGTTAAAATTGATATCTTATAGGTTTAACTCAAAATGGTAAGTATAACAAGACAAGATGGTGTTGACAAACAAGGAACACTGGAGAACACTGACAAAAAAATAAAAATAATAATAATGAAAATATAAAAAATACAAATGCTTAAACTTCTTTCAAGTGCTAATAACTTATACAATGTAACAGTTGTTACATATTTCACTTCTGCAGAGAGGCACTAATTTATATTTTGCAGAACAACATAGCATTATACCAGACTTACATCACATCCTTATAATTTTGTGGGGTAAAAAAATATAATTTACTATTTAACAGATAATTTCAAGAGGAAAAATTGGCTATTAAAGTATTTCACAATATAAGCAAAACTATGTTAAATTTAGAACAAAATACACAATAAAAATGTTTAATTTTTCCTCTTTATTAAAGGAAAACATTTACAAATTTAGAAATTTGATAAATTTTAATTTTTATCAATAAAATCTTGTGAAACGTTGGCATTTACATATTTCGATTTCTTTATAGAACAATATATTAACTTGAAAAAAATATATATTTTTTAATATGGAATGACTAAGATATAATCAAGTTTTTGTGAATCATCTAAATTTTATAGATTTTATAGTCTCATAGAATTTTACTATAAATGCAATCTATTATATTCAATTCATATAAAAATTAAATTATATTACCTTAAGTAAATATCCAAAACATTCCCTTCTTCTTCTTCGTCTTCTTCTTTGTTAATATGGAGATTTTAGCTCTTTCTACAAAACATTCCCTCAAATCTCTTCTTCAGTTTGTTACCATTACGCCATCACGCACTCAACATTTTACCAATTTTTTTTTCTAACGCAGCGACCTCTCAATAATTAGATTCTGTTTAAAAAAAATTAAAGAAAAATAGAGTTATCGCGCTTTAATTAATTTTTCAAAATATTTGAAATTAAAATAATTATAATAAATTATATTTTAAGTAGTGCCAGTTTATCAGCGAGGCACCAGAATTTTTAGACCATAACTGATCATAATTTCGTCATTAGATGCACGCGCTTCGATAGAACGTGGCTCGTTTGTTTATTTATTATGGCAACGCAACACTTGGGCGATCTGCCTAGGGGAGATGCCTTTCGGGAGGTCTTTTTAAGGTAAACTGGCCCCTATTTAGGCGTTACAAACGTGGAGAAAACCCGAAAAACTCCACGTGGCCAGCCCGTTCGAGCGAGGCGCTCCCAGTGTTCAGGGTTTGAAGACCGCTTGGCCACTGGTGGGCCTATAGAATGTGGCAGCCTGTGAACTTCCCGAGCACACCTTGTGTGGACTGTAGAGACTTCTATAAGTGCACATCGAATCATCATTGAAGAATGATGACTATCCGATGCGCTCATGTAGAAGCACCTTAAGTGAATAAAATTAATTTCATATTTTATTGTCATTCACATAATCATGTACAACGCTGTTATATCAACAAAGCGGTCACAGTTGTTACATGCCGGCTTGCATTTACGGTACATTCTATGAAACAATGTGCTTGATATAATGTGCATAATTTTTCGATATTAGATTCGATTTGAGACAATTTCAATCGTAAGTCAGACCAAACTTTAAGCTTTTTGTCTGTATTTGGTCTTAAGAGCTGTTGATGCAGAAAATTCTCACTTGCAAAGGTAAGAAGTTACAAAAGGCACCAGAACATTCACAGAAAGCCTAGCCAATTCAGAATATTCCTTTGCCAACTTAGCCCAAAATTGCAAAAGACTTATCTCGTAAAATGACTTTTTAGATTATTGTCTGATGAAATATCGAGCAGCTTTTCCTGCTGGATAACTGAATCTCGAAAGACACATATCAGAATGAAATGGATTCCGTACCAATGAATGTGGATCACAGGATAATTCAGGGAAATTCTCACGTAATTGCTGGGTAAGCATTCTCAAGTGCTAATGAATACAGCACTTGAGAATGCTCGCATCACCCTTATTTGGGTCAGTGGCTGTGCTTGTGATAGACAGAAAGCCGCGCAATATTGAAAACACTCAAATTTCATTTTCTCTGCATAGCTTGCCCAGAAATTCACCTTCTTTATCATAGTTGCGGTTTTGTCAAGTAAGTTGAATACTATGGAAGAACTGAGGTTTAATTTTGAATGCCTAAATTTAATTAATTCATTAAGGCGAGAAAAAATATCTGTCAAATACGCAATCCTTTGGATCTACATTAAGTCTGGAGATAATTACCAAACTCGAAAGGATTTTCCGAAAAGAAAAAGTTAAGTTCATAATGTAGTTCCATTATACGTGTCAATATTTTACCTCACGAGGCCCAACAGACTTGTGTGCAACAACAGCGTTACGTGTTTGCTGTCCATTTTGTTGCAGGTAGAATTAACTATCCTTGCATTCAATAAGTATTTACAAAATTGACAATTTTGACCATTTCATTGAGAGCAGTTTGCAAGTTCTTGGGCATTTTCTTTGTAGTCAATGCTTCTCCGTGAACAGTACAATATACACCAATTGCTTCGGACTATCTTTTGAATGTGATTGACAAGACTACTTTCCTCTCAAGGCCTTTGCTCCGTCTGTGATAATGCCAACACATTTGAACCACTCAATACTATTTTTGGACATGAAATTATCAACAAGGGAGAAAATGTCTTTTCCTCTTGACGTACTTTCTAACTGTTAAAAGATCCTCCTGAATAGAATTATTTGATGTGTAGTTAATATCAAATCTAGAAAGGGCACCTATCCAGCTATATCAGTTGACTCGCCAATTTGCAAGGCATAATATAAACTATCCTTAACATGATCCACCAGTTGATACTCAACACTATCTGCCATGTCGTGAACAGGATGTGAAATAGAATCATTCAAAGTAGGTATGAGGCCCAATTTTTTCTTTGCTTTGTCACCAACAGTGGCAAATCTAGATTTTTCAGGTCTAGGGCTTATTGATGGGGTCCAATGGTGCCCCGTTTTTTTGTCAGATTAAGAATTGACATTGCTTTATAAAGCAAGCTGGTCATTATTATTAGTCTCCTTATAGCATTCGAATTCGTGACAGTGTATTTAAAATTTCAACTTTGTGATCTGACCAATTACGTTACATTGATTACAATAAAACAAGTAATACTATTAATTATAATAATTATTATATTATTGATATTAAGTATATTTTACTATACGATAAGTGCTCATTGTTAATGAAAAAATATTAATTTTTGTGGGCCCTTGACACTTGGGGACTCAGGGCTTAAGCCCTATTAGTCCCTATGTAGATCCGCCCCTGGTCACCCAGTATGCATTCCACAATGTGTTTTGCAACAAACATAATTAAAGATTCTGCTAACGTGTATGGCTTTGTTGATTCAGCTAAATAGTAGCTAAAAAGATATGATATATTTAGCGCTGTTTATTTTGATTCTGGTGATGTTAATTGATGCAAACATCTTTTCCTCACTTTCAATTCTTTGCACTTCCTTTCAAAAAAAGTCAGTCGGCACGAGATCTGAGTGTTTAGTGTGAAGATGTTGCGACAGAATTGACATTTTTATGAAATAATTTGACAAAACCTCACCAGATAACACATTATGGAGGAGGATTATAGTGTATCGACCCAAAATTACTGACTGTTTATTGTAATTATTTTGATGTCGCTAGCGGGTGCTAGTCATGGCAGAACACGCGTAGCAGTTAACCTTTTATCTCACTTTTTCTGTTGTTCGGTTGTTGTAGGTCCGTGCTTTCAACGTGCAATAAAAAAGTTAATTCATTCCTATAAGTGTGTTTCTCTAACCCGAATACAGCATTTGACGCCCGGATGGCTGTGGGCACTAGGAGGGCCTCTTTTTTGCAAGCCCATTATGGGTTCGGCCAGGACTACAATGGGGCTATCGGGTAGTGAGGGACGGGGCCCGACATATCTGAACGGACCAACCCTCGGAAATTTCATGGGGATTTTTCGTCCCGTTCGGAATCGATCCCGGGTTCCCTCAGAGCGGTAGGCTGCCACCTTGACCGCTCGGCCATCCAGCCGCTCTGTCGATAGTATCGTAATGGAAGCGGCCGGATGGCCGAGAGGTCAAGGTGGCAGCCTACTGCTCTGGGGGACCCGGGTTCGAATCCGAACGGGTCGAAAAATCCCCAGAAATTTTTCGGGGGTGGTCCGTTCGAATATGTCGGGCCCCGTCCCTCACCACCCGGCAGCCCCATTGTGGGCCTGGCCGAACCCATAATGGGCTTGCAAAAAGAGGCCCTCTTAGTGCCCACAGGGCGGAAAGAGTTAAAAAAAGTATCGTAATAGAGGGATCTATGGTTTTAAAATATGTGAGACAAATAAAGGGATCCCAAATTTAACCATAAAATGGATAATCTTGCCAACAGAGCATTCAAAGTAGCGAGTAAAAAAAATTAGAATGCCGGCTACCATTGAAAAAAAATTGAAAAAACACTTACATCATCGTGTGCACTAACTCGCGCTTTCACAACTTCTAATTTTCATTCATAAAACCACATAATGGACTCTGAAACGAAACCATGAAGGGCGCCATGTTGCTTTCCACCTTAAACTTCTAGTACAAATGGATAGCGGCCGGATGGCCGAGCGGTCAAGGTGGCAGCCTACCGCTCTGGGGGACCCGGTTTCAAATCCGAACGGGTCGAAAAATCCCCAGGGATTTTTCGGGGGTGGTCCGTTCGGATATGTCGGTCTCCGTCTCTCACCACCCGGCAGCCCCATTGTGGGCCTGGCCGAACCCATAATGGGCTTGAAAAAAGAGGCCTCTTAGTGCCCACAGGGCGGAAAGAGTTAAAAAAAAAACTACCACAATCTCGATCTCTGACGTAAGAGTGATTAAAAAAAAAAAGTTAATCTCGATCACCGAATTATTCAATAACATTTTATACGACCCCTGACGGAAAGATATAGAAATAAACTTAGATGTATATATTATCTGGTGAGATTTTTTTAAAATTTAATTAAAAATTTTATGAATGTTATATGTAGACTTTTTAAGAATATTTGATTGTTTCTTTCTTGAAGCAGATATATTAAACTTTTATCAAATCAATGAACATTTGAGTATTAAAAAGATTCTGTTGATTCAGTTCATATTGAAGTTAAATTTGATTCAATTAGTTTTGTTAATATTATAGTGGTTCGGTTAGTGTTGCCAACTATTAATTTGTCTGATCCTCAGATAGGTTTATCTTTGAAAATTTGAATAAATTATATTTTTTATTACGTATTCACATGGTAATAACTTTTAAATACTTTGTTCATATATGCATAATGGTCTAAAATAACTAATGCCATAATCTTATGTATAGATTGTATATGCATGCTTGTTTGTTTAAACACTTAATTACTTACATGGTCACAGAATAATTTCAAATATTGTAAAGAGAATGAATTTATTAAGCTCCGTGCCTTTGTGAGTAGCATGATGCTTTTAATCACTTTAATGACCGATGTCCATCTAGACTTATTCTGAACCATGTCCCACCAATTTTCTTCACCTTCACATCCCTCTATTTCATTTTTCATCATAATGGTAATCTTATCAGTGACTTTGATCATTTAGTATGCTTAATATTTGATTTTTCTGCATTTTTTACTCTCTTTGCATGTCCATTTCACCTTAGTCATATTTTCATCATTAGTAAACTGTATATCATCTTAGCCTTATTTATATTTGAGCCTGTAATTGTGAAAAGAAAATGAATTTCAAGCAATAATAATAAATAGTTAAAAAAAAAGAAATTAATCAAAAATTAAACTACATTATTTTCCAATTAAAAATTTCTGTACACTCCAAAACAAAGCTGGCTGAAAAAAATGCCCACTAGTGGCCAAGTGGATAAAATCATTGAATGCTGGTAGTTGGTTGTGCTTTGCAATAGGCTTTCTGTGTGGAGTTTTCTGGATTTTTTTCATATTTGTAACACCTAAATATTGATTAGTTTTCCAAGAGGCATCCCCTCAGCAGATTACTCACATGTCATGTTGCCATAAGCAAATAAACTTAAACTAAGCCTGGACAAAACAATTTACAGCCTCAAGAAAATGAGAGTCTGTGTGAAAAAGTTATAGTTGTCAAACCTACTTTCAATAGTCACATTTTATATATATTTTAAGAATACAAATTCACAAATTTATTTTTATATAAAATGTCATAAAATATGTTTATATTAATTATTATTATTTTTATTACAGGAACAAATTTAGAGTCATTTCTGCTTTTACATACGAATGTTTTGTTTCTTCTGAATTGATAAATCTATATACTCATTAAATTATATTAAATACATGTGACATTTTTAAAGATTTTGGCTTTAAAATGTTATTTTATAAAAATGTAACTTTGCAAATATATTTTTAACAAATTAATACTAAAATAAATTTCAATGGACCTACCTGTTAATCCTGAGGTAGAAAAAGGTGATGTAAAAACTGATATTGTGGAAAACAAAGTAGGCTCTGAAGATTTAAAAGTAGATAATGATAACACTGATATTTCCATAATGGAAGAGAAGAGGATTGTTTGTCAAATAAAACTTAAAAGTCCAGAAAGTACTGAGAAAAGTGATTTAAATAAACAAAAGGGAACAAATCCAGTTATAATAACTGGAAGCCACATTAATAAAGATATAAAAACATCATCTGATTTATCAAGTGAAACTACTGATATACAAGTTCCAAAAATTGTATCTGATACATCAAGTAGTGGTAGTGGTTTAAAATTAAGAGTTGCATTAACAGATTTGAAGGTCCCAATTATAAAATCAGAAAGTTGCAAAAATGTAGATGTAAAAAAATCATTGGAGATTCAAGATGTCTTACAACCATCCAAAGAATCATTTCAAGAATCAACAAAATTGGATGAACTGAATGTTTTTCAAGAAATAAATTCTCAAAAATTATCTGGAAATTTTTTTCCAAAATTAAAACAAGAAGGAAGAGCTAAAATGTCAGCACCTTCTAAAGGTGATCATAAACAAAATGAAGCTTTGTTGAAATTGGTTATGAGCAAAGAATCGGGTGGAAGTGGTGTTATATTAAAGCCATCTGATCAACTTGCAAGAGCAAAAGCTGTTGGTATGTCAGCTAAAATTGCTAATTTAAAAAGTATGTTGAATAGTGTAATGAAAACTTCTTTAAGTCAAGTGCTAAGAACAAAAATTGATACTAAACAAGAAGATAAAAGTCGTGAAGAAGAAAAGAGGACTACTGCAAATGAGCAAGAAGAAACTATTAAAAAGTCTGCTGATAATGAAAAAAGTATTAATTCATTAAGTATTAAATCACCTGATAATAATGATTGTAATTCAACAGTGAAAGATTGCTTTAAAGATGTATCTCCTCACATTGCTACAAGAAAAAGTTGTTCATCTGATGTAAAGCCATTAATTAATGTAAATAGAGCAAGAAAGAGTATGCCATCCTGGTCAGTAAAAATTCAGCCTGTTAGTGGAACATCTAAAACATCAATGTTGCAACCTGTTGTACTAACAAGAAATCAAGCAGCAAAGAAAGCTATGAAAATGAAAGGTAGAAAACAAAAGCGTAGACATTTTCGAGGAGCAACATACAGTTTATATTTAAGTTCAAAAAGGAAGAAGAAGCAAAAGAAACAAGAATCAACCGGTGGAATTAAAGATGAAGAATCTAGTATTACAGGGACAGAAACAACTGGAAGCTTTCTAGATTCTGAAGAGGAAGGTGAAGGTGGTAGTTTCATTAGTGAAAGCTGTTATACACCTTCAGAATCATCCTTTCAAGATGAAGAAATGTCTTCGGAACAAAGTAATATATCACCAACGCCAGTTTGTAAAGTAAATCTGGATTCAGCAGGTGATGATAAAGGAAATTTAAGTACTTCTAATAATGAAAACCAGAATTTTGAAGTGAAAAATGAACAGAAAGAAAAAGTAGAAATTCAAGATGAGAAACTGAGAGATGATAATCAAGATAATGTTTCTGTTGAAAATGTTGTTAAAGAACAGTTAGATAAGATAGAGAAATTGGGAGAGACACATAAATATAAAAAGGAAGAAGAGGTAATAATTAAGACTCCATCAATGCAAAATAAGCAGGAAGAAAAAGAAAAGGAAGCAAATTTCAATGATGGTATTCCTGTTTCTGATGAAACTATTAGAACAACTATCAAATTAAAAACTGATGAAGCCCGATTACCAGTTGAAGATGCAGCCATTGCAGAATCAACTATCACTCCTGAAGTGGATTCTGAACAGATTATAGAAAATGCAGCTGTTGAAAGGGAAGATATAAAAATAGAAAAATCTGTTTTACATGATGATATTGAAATTATTGATACATCAAATTTGAAGGATAAAATGGAAATAGAAGAGACTGCAAATAGTAAGTCAAAAATTGTTTTAAATTAAATTAGAATTTTGTTGTTCTGAAAATAATAGTATTTTAAATCTTTGTAAGGATCTTAAAAATATAATTTATTAAAATTCAAATGTTTTTGAATACAGTTGTCTTTGGATCAAGATGAATGAGATCATCTGTTCCGAACAAGTTGATCTTTATGAAAATGAGTGGTTGTTCTCAAAAACAAAATGTTTGAATAAAATAAATTGTATTTTTAAATTAAGTAGCAATTATATTATTTTTCTACTTTATTGGAGCTCAAAAGTGTTAGGTACTGTTTAAAAGTTTTCTGTGTTCTAATAAAAGCAGGAACTGGTGTGATTGCTATTTATCAAGAATTGGAGATTAATATTGGATCTTTAAGCAGCTTTAAAGTGTTATTAAGTTAGTACAGTAGAGCGTCGATTATCTGAATCAGTTGGGGACTGGGGCTGTTTGGAAAATAGATTTTTCAGATGACCAATTATGTACGAAAAAATACATTATTAATATAGTATATTAGTATATCCCAATAATAGTATATTAATATATCCCACGTTTAAATTTTTCTCCGTTGAGTGTTGCTTTGCATTGAATTTTTGTCGACGTTAAGCCTAACGAAAATTTTTATAATAATAATTGTGGCTACTGTATTGTTAAAAATTATTTCTTTATTTTGTACCAACAAAATAAATATATTGAAAAATATAAAAACAAAAAAAATTATACTTTAGAAGTTAATCTAGTATCAAAAACGTTTGATTCAGCACGACACAGTCTGACTGGAACACTTTCAGTTAACCGACGTTTCGGTTGATCGACATTCGGATAATCAGTGCTCTACTGTATTTCTATTTTTATCTAAGTTAATTTGTTCATAATCAAATATACTCAATGGTACATGTGTAAACATGGTGTGTAAATACATGAGGAAATATAGTATAATGTTTTTATTATTACTTCTATAAATTCCTTGTCAGGCATAACAGAATACTTTTTATGAGAGAGTAGAGATTGAAGAGTTGNCCAGATATCGGTCATTCACAGTAATATATATACAGTAAAGCATTGATTATCTGAATCAGTTGGGGCTAGGGTTGTTCAGAAAATTGATTTTTCAGATAACCGATTATGTGCAAAAAAATATATTAACCTATCCCATGTTGAAATTTGTTCAAATCCTGGCATGACCTTAAGTACCCTCTCATGGTCACACCAGTGCTGCCAGCTAAAACACACACACCAACAAAATAATATTGGAGTAGCCCAAGACGTGCCAAAGATTGCAGTGCCATAGCCCTAGCGGAAATTTAAATTTGCCAACTGAAAAACTTTCGGTTAATTGACATTCAGATAATGGCTGCTCTACTGTATATATATAATGAGGGATGATCAAAAACTAAGGTTTCAAAGCCTGCAGTGAAAAGTTACATTTTATTTCATACAACCAATACAGCCAACTGATAGTACATACATTAGGTTATTTTTCATCATAGTCTCCATATCAGTTTAGGCACTTGTTACTTCATGTGATGAGTTTGAAAATTCCCTCCTGGTAAAAATCCTGTCCTTGCGTGTTCAGCCAAGTTGTCATAAAGTGTTTCACTGCTTCGTCTGAAGTGAATTGTCATCCTGCTAGGTTCTCCTTCAAGTGAAGAAACAGGTGAAAGTCACTTGGAGCAAGGTCTGGGCTGTAGGGAGGGTGGTCAATGATGTCCTAGTGAAACTGTTTCAACAGTGTGGTGGTCTTCTGGCTGTATGAGGTCACACTTCTGAATGACATTCCCAATTCTACCGTCATATGCTGTAACGTGGTTCTTCTGTTGTCCTGAATCAGCTCCTCCACACGAGCTTTGTTGACATCTGTTGATGCAGTGCCTGGTCGGTCACTGTGATCCTTGTTGGTGAAGTTTTCTCTACCAGCCTCAAACTTTGACACCATTCTGCAACATGCTGACAAGACATTACAGTCTCTCTGTAAACCTCTACCAGCTGCCAGTGAATTTCAGCCACAGTTACATGTTTTGCTCACAGAAATCATATAATTGAGCGGATTTATTCGCGAGACCAGTTTCCAAACGAGTTGCCATTTGTGTTTACCTACAACTAGTGCTGTAGGTGTCAGAAACTCTGCTCTGAACCAATTGGGAATGTCGTTCAGAAGTGCGACCTCATACAAACCGCATGCATGTATTGGAATTACTTCTCATTTCTCTATAACAAATGAAACTCCAGGAATATCGGCCTTGTAACCTTAGCTTTTGATCAACCCTTGTATATTATATATTTATTTGTAGTCTTTTTTGACTTCTTGTTTTTTATACATAAATTTGCTATTCCAAATTTTACATTAATCTGAACAATTCCATATAATAGTTATTAATAGTTTGGATTAGTGAAGTTACGTGGTGTGTTCAAAAAGTATTGGACCTTTGGTCGGCAAAAATCAATTTATTGACTTTGAGGTACAAAACCCTAATCCCCTTCAAAGTAGTCTCTTGGTAATGTATACACTTCTCCCAGCATTCCTGCCATTGCTGGAAACACTGCTGGAATGCATCTTTTGGAATGGCCATCAGCCGGTCCATCGGATTTCGCACGATGTCTTCTCTCGACTAAATTCGGATTCCTTTTAGCGGCATTTTCAGCTTGGGAAATAGCCAAAGGTCACACGGAGCCATGTGGGGAGAGTACGGAGTGTGACGAACCACAGGAGTGTTGTGTTTGGCGATGAAAGCCCGAATCAGATGCGCAGAATGGGCGGATGCGTTATCACGATGGAGCTGCCAAGTTTTGATCCCAGTCGTTTGCGTCGCACTGTATCGGAAAGATGACGAAGGATCTCCTGGTAGTACTCCTTTGCGATGGTTTGGCCTTGTGGTGCGTACTCACGACCACCACCCCACGAGAGTCGAAAAAACTGTCAACATGACCTTTGATATTGCTGTGGACCTGCCGCGCCTTTTTTGGCCTCGAGGATCGTCCCCGAAAACCTGCTGAATCTTGCGAATGGTTTACGCTTGGGTATCGCCAAGGTTTTTGGCAAAATTTGATGTAATATTGCTGTTCACGTTGTTGAGTCATTTTCCAGCTTAGTGGAATTCGACGAGAGCGCACTACACTACCTCACTCATAGGCCGATTGCCAACGACTGACACTTCCTGCAGGCGGGAAAAAATTCAGGGCTGTACATGACTGTCCCCTCTACAACTCCACCAAAGGAGGCCTCTCATGCATCATTGGTTTACGCGGGAAAAAAAAAGGTCCGACACTTTTTGAACAGACCTCGTATACTATAGTTGTATAGGACCAGACCAATTATCTGGCAAGCTGGGGACCCAAAGTAGTCTGGATTTCTAGGTTCTCTGGTTTTCTGGACACAGGCTTAATATATATATTTAAAATATAGAAAAAAAACAATAAAAAGTAAAAAACAAAATTTTATTTAACAGATACAAATTAAATGAGGTGGAGCATTAGTGAAGCTTCTTCTATGTGGCTTATATAGTGTTTGATCTCAAAATTTGATTGATTGATTGATTTTGATAAAACTTTGCCATTTCTATTTATTGTGATGAGGAAATTAAAAATGTTATAAAAAAATAAAGGTCTATGACTTCATTTTTGAGATACAAGATTGTAGCATGAGCATTCACGACAAAGTGATTATTGACAAATTGAATGACTTTGTCAGGTTATGTTCCAAGCCCATAGAAAAATTCATTTTCTATGGGCTTATAGAATTGAGTTTATTCAAAATTTGATAGGCTGATTTTGATGAAATTTTGTCATTTTCCATTAATTGAAATGAGGAATCCAAAAATATAATGATGGTTCATTTAAATGTAAAAGATAGAGGTACATGACTTTGTTTTCAGTATATAGTGGAGTCAAATTGATAATGTTCATGATATCTGACATGATTGGGCATGCCTAATGGAATCTAGGAAGAAAATAAAAAAAACAGCATTGCATGTGCCTAACAGAAAATATGCACAAAAAATGAAAGAAACATAAGAACATATGACTCATGTTTAAGTGAATAAAATGTTTGTCACTTAAATGTTGTTCACACTGGTTAATTGGTTGGTGAGTTGTACGTTTTATATACATCCTGATGTTGTGCAGTTAAATTAAAAGAACAAGAACAAAGCAATTGATGGTGATTGCTTTGTTCATAGATCACCTTCATGTTGGCAAGTGCAAAAATCATCTCTCCATACTGGCCAGTGCAAGGATCATATTTCTGTGTCAGCCAGTACAAGGATTGCCTCTCCTGTGGCTGGTGGATACAAGTAGGGTCATGAAAGATAGGCAGAGGGGATACATGCACAAGGGACCAAAATTTCAAAATTGTTACATGGGCAGACTAATAAATTCATAGAAAATTGTCACACACGAGTCTGAAAAATTATATTTATGAAATATAATATGCATTATATTAATAAAAAGTACACTAAAGTGTTGTCTCAGCAACCTGCTAATGCTGTTTTGCCAAACTTATCACAAAGACTTCAGTATATTATAAAACTCTTTTATTCTTTTTATAAATGTTATAATATACTGAGATTGTCGTGATTAGTTTGGCAAAACAGCATTAACAGGTTTTTTTTTTCGTCCAATGGAGATTATTATTATTAAAATTAAAGACAAAGTCTACCCAAAAGGGACCACCATTTATTTCTTGTGTTTCAGACTACACATCCATTGGATGAAAAATTTACAAAAGGAAAAAAATTGGAATGTATCGTCACCAGGGGGAAGTTTCCGAAATCTGCATTTACCAGCACTTGTTCCAGTAGATAAAAGCAGAAACACCCCATAGGATGGATGGAAAGCAAGATGTCTGTATATCACCAGTTCCTTTTTAAAAAATTTTTTCAATTGGATGTAATTGTGTTTTTAAAGGACTTTTTTAAAATTCTGGTGGCATGTAGCCTATAAAGGAAGGTCTGTCGCCGTGAATGTGTAGTCTGGAACACAAGAAATAAATGGTGTTCCCT